TATATATATATATTCAGTATATATATGTATTCACACACAGTCAAGTTAGTCCTGGAATTCAGCCAAACATTACCATCATAAGTTGTGCCAGTTGTTACACATGTCAACGTATTACAGTACCTGTTTTTATGACCTTTGAGGAGTCCTTGGTGCTCTCTGAGCTTGTTTTTTTGCAAACATTTCATTATCCAAACTAGGTAACATCATCAGTGCTTACCACCTTTTCTGTGGAAATCATTAAGTGAATGCAACAATCACAAATGTCAGGACCTTTTAAGTGAGCTCATTGTTTGCCATCTGCATTTTCCCCAAGACACCAGAAATAAACACTAGTTTCTGGTAAAAACATTTAAATCATAGTTGGGATGCTAAGAGCTGTAAATGTGGTTCGTTGCTGAGGTCACATGACCAAGGAGAGGTGGAGCAGTGGCCGTAACTTTGAATCTGGGTTGTAAGTGCCTTTTTGGTGGATCTGTCATAACGTCAAATGGTTGCTTAGTGACTGATTGTAAATTGATATTTTTTTTTGTTTCACATTTTTTTGCCCAATCTTAGTGGTATCCTTGAAGTGAAGATGGGCCACAGTTTTTTAATTCCTCTTGGGAAAGGTCAAGGGTTAGGATTGAAAGAGCTATTTGTCCTCCTGAGATTGTGTTAGGTTAAACTAAATTCAGTTCCAGATCAGCAGCACAAAACAACACCCATGCCACGCTGAAGTTCAAAATGACAGTAATTGGCACAGACCAATAATTTTCCTTCAGATAAAAGTCAGGAAACTTTCATCTTACTCTTTAAGAGAGGTCATTTTTAAAAAGTGTGGTCTTTCACTTGCAGCTTTTCCTGGTGTTCATGCATCTCAGTTGGCATCAGTGCTTATTAATTTACATCAAACAAAAAGTCTCACAATCAGTTCTTGATAATTTATTAACTAAAAAGGAATTAAGTCACAAGGGCAGGAGGGCCTTCCAGGAAGAACATTTACCAGATTCTTTCTCTGTTTAATTTTATATCTTTCAGCTGAACCTTTGGGTTTCATGCTGTTTCGTAGCTATGGCGCAAAGGATTTGGGACTGCCCATTAAATAAAAACTAAATGTCAGTTTTCTGTCATAAGATAATTTTCAACAAGAAGAAAACCACCTGCCACCAACTACAAGCTGGTGACAGTTTCCAGTTTGCGTTCATAAAAGAAGCGATGGGGTGTACGCTTGGAGGGGGAAACCTTCCGGGTAAAGTAGCTGAGCAAGGACTTTGCACTCTGCTGGGATGGGCCATCTTCAGTATCATCCCTGAAGAAGGAAGCAAAGATAGGGAGAAATGAAGGATTGAGGTCTAACCTACTTTACTATCATCTTCTTCTGTGCTAGTTTGAGAAACATACAGTACTCAGTGAATCTTGCTGCAACCAGTGACCACTGGCAGAACCAACTTTGAAGGGAAACGGGAATTTCTTGCTCAAAAATGATAAATCACTTTGAGGTATAAATTTTGCAGATAGGGAGCTGACCCATTCAGATATCAAATACAACCCACATTCCTTCTATTTAATCTTCCACACATACCTACTATTCAAATAGAAACCCAAACTCTTCACCTACTCTCTTTTGTCATCCATATTCAACTCATCCCTACTTACTTGGTGTCCAGTCAATAGCAGTATGTCATGCACTTCCTGTTCTCTACCAGTCTGCTGTAGTGTTTAAGGTCCTGGCCTAGAATCTAGGAAACTGTGAGTTCTAGCCCCACTTTAAGGCATGAAAGCCGGCTGGGTGATTTTGGACCAGTCACTCTCTCTCAGCCAAACTATCTCAGTGGGTGGTTGTTGTGGAGAAAATAGAAGAGAGGAGTATTAAGTATGTTTGCTGCCTTGACATATTTACAAAGTAATAAAAGCAGGATAACAACCTAATAAATAATAAACTCCCCAACCCAATTGCTGCCTTTGAGAAAGCGTACTTCCTTCTGGAAGAATTAAACTATGAGAATGAAACTCCTGACACATCACAGTATATAGTAGCAGCAGTGAATAGTAAGTTATTTAACTTCTCCTTAACCCTCCATTATAATCTTTATCCATCAGTCCACCTCATAGCTTGTTCCTCCACTTACCAATGAACAGGCACAGCTTTGCTCTCCAGAATGAGCTGAGCTGTGCTCCAGCTAAATCGTACAAACTGTGGATAGCCAAAGATTGGGTCCAGGTTTTGAGCGAGCCATTCTTTAGTTTTGGGGTCTGGGGAGAGAAAGGATGACTAAGAGACTTTGCATAATCCTTTTATCAAATAATATATTTCAGTCCACTACTTCCGTTATAGGAGCAGACATCAGGCAAAGTGTATAACAAACATTAGGATAACTCTCTTCTCTTCCCACTCTGCTCTATAATTGCAACATGTTTAGTTCCACATTACAACCTGACCCGAGTCGTAGGGGTTAGAAAACCCATCACTGCATCAAGATACAACCTACGGCATCAGTTTTAACAACAGTGAAGTTTTGGCACCATCACTATCTACCCTAATGGAATAATAAATGATGACATCTCACAGGGGAAAAATCATTTAACTATAATTATGATTCAAATGTAAGACTGGGGGAAAAGAGAACTCAGGAATGCCAAAAATAATGTCTTTGCTTTTCAGTGTTCCTGCACAGGAACATAAAACCCTATTAGGCCATGGCATGAAAACAATACATGGTGGCCCCTACAACTGGCATTCAGGTCACCTCCAGTTTTCAGTGCAGAGCCTTAGATGACTAGAAAGGTATTACAGAAAAATAGCATGCCCATCCAGCTGTCATCCTGAATTAGAGTGTCTTCACAAAGCAAACATTTTCTGCTTGTCTAATCTTATTTTAAAGCCACCTGATCTAAACATCACTATCACAGCTCCAAATGCACAGAGATGGAACTGAAAGAATAAACTAGAATTTACCATTGGGATAGCCCGAGCCATAATCCATTTCTGCATCTTCCAGGTTTTCCAAGAATTTCCAATTCTTCACAATCCGGTCCCTTGCTACCTAGAGATTGTAAGAGATAACACTTCCTGTACCATATGAAAAGTCCATATAATTTGGCATTTTTTTCTTCAATAATGGACAATTATTGCCTAAATTAAGAAAAGCCTGATGGTAATTGAGCTGATGGGCCAATCTGCGCATCTTGCCAGATAACATAGCCTACATGGATTTGGAGACAAAGGAGTTTCGCATTTACCTTGGCACAAATGCTGGCTGCGCTTACGGTAGGGAAGAGAGAGTCTGCCTTGGCCCTCACTGTAACCTCCAGCTCAGGAAACTGCTGCTTTAGCTTTTCTTGGTATTTCTCTGCTGGTCCCACTGTGTCTACAAAAACCTGAACACAAAAAGACCCATGAAGGATTTAAGGGAGAGAGGAGGATTTCTTGCTACTTCCTGGCAGTCTAGGGCACTAAGCTAGTTCACCTCTGCAAGTTGCACTCCAGAATCTAGTGCATGCTGGATTAGGCCAATGGCTGTATCGTGAGATAGTGCATTCAAGTTGTACTTTGTCCTGTAAGGAAAAGGAAATCACATTGACTGATGAGGACAACTGACTATGAAGCTTATCAGAAAACAGGTGGATAAAAACTGAAATTAGCTGGATAATGCAACTTGTCTTTAAGGATTGTAACTAAGATAAGAGGGACCCAGGCTCTAATCTCTACCTGCTAATATGCCAGGGTGATGAGGACTGTCATTTTTAAGTACAGTCTACTTAAATGGATTGTTGTTGTTCGGATAAAATCAGATGTGACGCTGCAATGTTCATACAATAAATACAACAAATATAAATTAATGATTTTCATTCTGGACAAATACAAATAATTAGAAATAGGATGGGCCATTGTATCAATGAAACAAAGAAACAAACTGTTTTATAACCTTGGGTGACATTAAAAATATGGATATATAATATGTCTAACTTACTCTGGACAATTTGGGTTTTTTTAAAAATTACACAAACGTTATACTCTATTACAGCTAAACCATTTTGGCTGGTTAGTAATAATTCAACCAACTCTCCAGATGTATATGTTATATATAGTGACACCACATTATAATTAGATCCATAGGACACGTGTTTCAATTCTAGGGAGGGTAGGTCAGGCAAAGAAATAATTTTAGAGAAATGTGTGCATCTTTTAAAACCTAAGATTTAATCTACCTAATAGAGAAACTGCCTTGTCTCTACCACACTCACCGTCTCTGCATACTAGTTGAGATGAAATTGGGGGAGAGGATGTGTAGGGCCCATCCTACATATTCCTTAGCAGCATCTATTTTCTCAAAGATTTCTTCCCGTTGAGCTTCTGTCAGACTTTTAGAATCTGAAAGCAAGTGGAAAAAGATCATTTTCAGACAACGTGGCATGGAAGAAATAAACATTATTCCTCTACCTTGCTCCCCCAATAAAAATAGAGTATTTTTGTTTTCCTTTTTGTACAGACCCTCTGTCTTGTGACACAGTTGCAAAATTACTGAAGTACAATCAGAACCTGACACTCCTTTTACCTGCTACTTTCAAAGTCTCTAGGTCTCCCTGCCGAGACACAGGACAGAAACAGATTCCGTAGACCATGGGACCTGGAAAAAAAAAAACTCCAAAAAGTTACTCAGTCTCAGCTACTATGATCTCTTTACAAAAAGTATAAAATTAGCTAACATCCTTGTCAGGTAAGTAGGTAATACAAATGAAATGGCTTGAAAAACTGCTTTCACAGTACTTAAGCTACAACATCATCTCTACAACAGGCAACCCTCCATAACGTTCTCTTACAATAAACTTTAATTACACTGCATTCGTTCATTCCCGGAGATGAGGAATGTGAACATCGTATCGGTGGATTTAAGGATCGGAAGCATATTGGCACAAAATGAGAAAATGGGCTGCAAATCAAGACTGTATTAATTATGTACTATGTTTACAAGAAGATACTACAATATGTAAGTTAGCTTCACGCCAACAGGCAATTAGACTATCTAGAAATCCATACAATCCAGCGTGTTACCCCGGATTCACCCCGGATGATGCTTTGGGGCCAGTACCCCAAAGAAGTGTTCCCTCATATATTTGAATCCATACCCAGTACTGGTCCTCTGCCTGCCTCATCGATGCCCAAACTACAGGGCTCAGTCCGGCAAACAGGAGGCACCGCCGAGGCCAACAAACAATTCACCGAATTGTCCCGTTCGAATTTGCCGAGATCCATATTCGTTCGCGCGCTGGAAGCAATCGGCTTCCAGCGCGCGAACGAATAGAAGAAAGGGAAATCCAAAGAGTGCAATGTCTTCTGGGAAACGTAGTTTGTGAAACGAGAGGATTCGCTACGCAATTCCTAGGGTTGGTCGAAAGGCTGTGGCATCTCCAAATTAAAATAGGAATTTTCATTAACAATCCTACATGGTGCGCAGTGAGTAAAGCTGCGGAGTACTTTAATGCAGTTTTACACACACACCCGAGCTTATGCCTGTCGTTAATGAAAGTATGACACAGGCTGTTGTTTAATTTGGTCTATTATGTGTTCCGTTTGGCTGAGCCTTTGGGCTTTCGGAATCTTGAGCCCGTTTTGTGGATTTCCACATCAGCTGGAAATTCAAAGGAGATCAAAACTGGAATGGGGACACAGAATGCATTGTAGCTTTAAGAAATGCTCTCCTCGTCCCCTAAAAACTTGACTGTACAGCAAGCCATACCCTAAAGAACTTAGGGTGAAGCAATTACGGGAGATAATGAAAAAAATGCCTTTATTCCTTCGGTGCATTTCCTAAAGCACTGTAACATCCATATAAGGCTATTCTTTTATTCTGACCCCCCGCCCCCCCCCAAAAAAAAACCACAACAACACTTGCCCAATGTCAAGAATCAATTATTCCAAGTATGGCTTTCTCAGTGTTAGAATTCGCCCTGTTGGCCGACCACCTGGCAGCCATACTATCGGGAAGCCAATTTGGTTTTCAGACAGGGACAGCGAGTGGAAAACCTTACATAACTTAGCTATAAACAGAAGCTCGGGGGAGAGGGGCGAGAGAGGTCGCTCTTTTGGTTTCCGCGAATTGCTTTGGTTAGCGTAACGAAGATCGATCTCTTTTTTAAACAGTTCGGACTGCGTTTCAATCGCTGATCGTCGCAAGGAACCTGAGTTTATCAGCAAAGGCCCGAACGGAGGGCCAAACGAAAAAAAAAACAAAAAGAAATCCTAAACCAATGACGGCGTTTCCAAGCTCTGCATGTTAGAATCACGCGCCGACCACCTTCGTTCTCGCCTCCAATATCCCCCTTTCGGATACGATCGAGGGAGAGGAGCACGTGTGCCGCTCTTTGCCGTGCCCCCGCCTTTACGCTGCCGGGCCTGCCCTCTTCCCGTCTCTCAGGGTATAAAACCCTCCGCGGTAGCCGCGGGTTTCTTCTTTTGCTGGTGCCACACCTCCTTTCCCTGCAAGCGGTCCCTTTTCCCTCGTGCTGTTCGCGGAGACTGCGGTAGGTTAGGTGCTTTCACGCTCTTGTCGAGGCTCGTGAAAAAAGCCACAGAAAGGGTGCCTTTCAGCCGTTTTGGGGGCTTGGCAAGGTTTCGGGGGCGGGTGGGCCCGCCGAAGCGCTTTGCCCTCGTTTTCAGCCTTGTGGACGGAGGATTCCGTGGTGGGGGTAGTGTCCTTTCTTCTTTTAGAGGCGTGATATTGGGGAGAAACGCTAATGCTGGATTAAGGGCTCTGCGACGCATAGTCTCTCTTATTTTCCCCAAAACTGCCAGGTAGGCGGGCTTTCTTCCAATTAAATTGCAGGCTGCAGGCGAGGAATAGGGTCCTCTTTGTTCAGAGAGAGGATGGAGAAAGAAAGGAAGCCTGCCTGCTTCCTTTAATCCTTTGTATATATATACCCCACCCCCCTCTTTACCTTCCAATTGCTAGGGTTTTTTTTTCCCGCCCCAATCCTTAGGAAAAGGGGGAAGCTTTCTAGGCTGGCCTTAATTTTTGAAGGGAGGCAGAGCAGGTAACCACGATACTTAAGGTTTCTAGTAACCTGAAAAAAAGACAGAAATCTAAATAGCTAAAAAGGCATCCCTTCCTCTTTCTTTAGAGTTTACATAGTGTTTTCCCAATTTCTAGAATGCCTAACCATGCTGGCTAGGGATTATACAAAATATATCCCAGCTTTCCTTTAAAAAAAAATAGAGGTATGCATATTTTAAAACAAAGTACCGAATGGTATAAGGTATCTTCATGCCCCAATTTTCAGTTTATGTCTTGAAAGTGACTACCTAAGCTTTTCAAGGTTAGGGAGTAGCTTTTAAGGTTTAAGAGGAGAGAACCAAAGGTACAGTAATGGCTGTGGGCTGGGATACTTAATGATTTTGTTCTGAATATCATTTTCTTTTAGGCAGCTGCATTGATAAATGCAAAGATTATACAGTTAGGTGTTTTGCATTATGCCTATTAGTGCAAATTTCACTTCTTTGAACTACCAGAGAATTGTGCAAGGCCTAGTTTTGTAATGCCATAGTCTGAGGAATTCTGTGAAGTATTACACCACCTGCCAAAACTGGAAAAAAAAATGTCAAAGTTAGGAATAGTCAGAGCATTTTCTCTCTGCCACCTACTCATAATCTCCCTAATAAGTAGGACTTAGCTGCTAATAGTCCTGGAAGTTATTGGTTGCTGGAACTCTTTATGGCAGGAAGTAACAGCATGTAATAGAACTCTCTTATTCTATGCTCTAAACTGCTGAAGAACTGCAGGTCTGGAAATGGTCAAGGTTGGAAGACAAAATGTAGCATTAGAATTGGCTAGGTGCAGCCAGTCCCTTTGCTGGGGCATAACTTCCCAAAGCTTATTTCAAAAGATGGCAGTTACTTAACCTATTGACCAAACCAAATATCTTAAAGCATTACTGCCCCTTTTGAGCTAAGTTAGTTGATTTTGGCCCTTGTTCTAGCAAGAGCGTGGTGCTTGGCAGTGCTAGGATCAGTTATACCCTTAAATTTTCATGAATGATCTGTACCAACTTCTGGTTGCCACCATTTAGAACTGCAATAGTTTGAAAAGAGAGGGTTAGGTCAGGGTAAGGTGTCTTTTCAAACTACTGGTGCCCAAAGACAACAGTGAGATCCAATTGAATCCAGTTCTTTATATGCTTACATCTAATGTAGTCTTGCAAGACTTAGGCTATAACCTTCAAAGCTAATCTAAGGTGTGGCTATCCTAAAGCTTTTCCTCCTTCCCCCATCCAGTTCAGGACTACACAATCTCTTAGTTCCTTCTCTGGAATGTGCTGTCTCCTTCCTGGGAAGTTGGGTGCTACTGCTGAGTTCATTCCTCCCCTGCCAGTTCAGCTGCACACTATCACAGCAGCCAGTTTGTGAAATGTCATGGCGGGAGGGGGTTTGTTACTATATAAGGACAACCTCTGCCCCAAGCCTAGAATAAGTTTTTCACATTTTTGTTCTAAGAAAAAAGGACGAAATTGTCCTGTAGTTCTTTGATTTTCCACTGAAATTTGAGACTATTTGGGAACTACCTGCCCCAGCCTCCCAAAAGAGACAAGAGTTTTATTTTAATGCAGAGAAAATAACAGTAAAAAGAAAATACCAATTGCCTCCTTTATACTATACATTTATTATCTATTCTGCTCACACAAGAACTTAAAAGGAGGAAAATATATAAATATTTTGAAAAGAAATGAAATGTAAATTCTTCTGAAGATTGAAAAAGATATATGCTTGTCTTTGGTCATTGTCTTCACATGTATATTGAGTTGACCCAAACTATAATATTTCCTATGCTTGAAGTTTGAATCCATTCTGACTTTATTTGGTCTGTTGCTGTTGCTGTTGTTTTTTAGGTTATAAAAAATAAATTGCATTTGCTTTAGTTTTGGGCACCATCTAAGGCAATCTTTGGATGTTAAAGGTTGGGAAGGGTGTAGATATAATTTCTTTTTGTATACTGGTGATATTTAAGAATTTTGGATCAATATTCTACTTTGTCTTATTTTATAAAGATTGTAGAGTATTTTGGTTCTAACTGGAATAAATCTAGCTGGATCCCAATACATAGTTAGGTAAAGAAATGGGATTTGTGATTTCTACTGACACATTTGGAACTGTATAAAACCCAAAGGTATTTCTAAATACTAAGAAATATGTTGAACATTATTACTAAGTGGATGTTAATAAATAGCTTAAAATTCCTTTAAACCTTTGAATTAAAATTATTCTTACGAAATTTTTCCTTTATTTCCTTTATATTCTTATAGGTACTTCTATGGTTTAATAAATACATTGAAAACTTATTTAGGGAATGTATTTGGAAAAATGGATCACCAAGGTTTTCCTTAGCTAAAGTGAGATTATCATTTGAGGAAAGTGGTTTTTTTTAATTTATATGTTCTGTAAAAGTACCACTGGACCAATAATTTATCAGCCATCTTTTGCTGGTGTGAAATGAAAATATAATGGAATATATTTATGGGCTAAATCGGAAGATTAGTAATTGAGAACAACATAGAGCAAGGAAAGGTTTTATTACCAATAGTAGGAATAGTGACAAATCTTTAGACCACATTGGACATAATTTGAGTTTCATAAATTCTAATTTGAAAATTGGTGGTAAATCATTTTATTAGAAAGCTTGGATAAGAACTGGGGTTATTACTTTAAATTGGCTACTGGACTTTTTCATATTTATTCAAATTCAATTTGGTCTTACCAGTTTGCAACAGTGAAAGTATTTTCAAGCTTAAGCATGTTCTAAACTTACCAGATGATTTGGCTGCTTTAAAGGCCAAAAAGTTGCTTTTTTCCCTGATGAAAACTATTGCCAAAATAAAGTAGACATTTCTGGGGTATTATAAACATACCTTTTAGGTCAAGATCAGGTTGGAAATAATAAATGGCTTTGTTGGTAACTCTCTCTGTGCACCATACTTTTTCTTTCTATAGTTAGTAAGATGAAGGAGGCATCTGAACTAGGAAATGCAGCATGTTGCTCCTCAAAACAAAGAATATGAATATCTAATAGCCTCACAGTGCATGCCTCAGGGTTTGCTGTGGATTTAAAATCATTATTAAACCATTCTATTGAACCAGTTCCTGTGACTAGGACTTTGAATAGAGCATTATGCTGGATTGGTAGACTTTGCTCTTTCTCTGAGTTTATGGGCTCTAATTGGGTAAAAGTTGTCAGAAAATGGGGAAAGAGATGCCAAAATAGTGCTGCCTCTTTAAATAATCAAAGGTAATTAAACAGTACGTACTCTGAATCAACCAATCATTCCTGAGAAGTGGTGCCCTTGCCAACTTAAGGCATACATTATTGTTCTGATATTTTAGGAAATGGCCTCTGGTAAAGCATATATTGGGAAACCAGTTCCAGATTTTCGTGCTACAGCAGTGGTGGATGGCGACATCAAGGATATAAAGTTATCAGACTACAGAGGTAAGGCACTGTATCGTCTATTAAGTTTTTAATTGTGCATCCATTGGGTTACTTAGTATTCTAACCTGTCTAGACTTTATGGGAAGGCTAAGATGCATTTTCCAAATAGAATGCTTTATGAATCCACTTTAGCCATGTTGGCATCTTTGGTAATTATAGAAGAAATGCACGTGCTTTCATATTTTATTTTATTAAATTTGTTTGCTGTCCATCTTAACTGCAAGGCAACTCTGGATGGCTTACAATATCATATTATAAAATATTGCATAATGTGTGCCGTGTATAATTACATTATTTTATTTATACATACATTTATAAATGGAATAATTTACATTTATAAATGTATATAATCCCATTAAAATTGCAATAAAATACAAGTTATAGCTAAAGATGGGGAAGAAGGGGCCAGGCGGGGAAGTGCTATTAAATCAGTCAACCACCTCCAGTGTGATATTCCCTCATTGGGCCTCAAGTCAACTGGCAGAGCCAGGTCTTTATATGCTTGTGGAAAGTCAGGAGGGCAGGAGCCAATCTCACCTCAGGGAGTACCATGTTCCAAAGAGCAAGGGCCATGGCAGAGAGGGTGCTTCTCCTGGACACCACCACCCCATCTGGAATTCCTTGGTGGAACTTAGAGCATTCCTCCTCTGCCAACATGGGTGTGGCAGGCTTGTCCCATAGAGGTCAGACTGTTCCTCAAGTAAGCTGGACCCATACCACACAGGGCTTTATAGGTAATAACTAATACCTTG